TACTGAATATCGATAGATAAACTGAATTGATTATTCTAACTCCAATAATTACATGATAATCAGGCAGTATTTATAGAGAGAGAATGAGTGCTGGTATACACCGGAGCAGTGATCCGGTTTCCGGAATTGACATAATAGAAGATCCTTGCTAGCGCAAATCAACAGAATCCTCGAAATGAGATATCATTTCTGACATTACTATCCGTACTCTAACATCTTATATAGTTATTGTAATACTGACTACTTCTTTCTATAGAGCAGATGTCATAGTAGTAATTTGATAAAGTGAGTAGATTGGTAATGTGAAGTTGATGAAATTGTAATTTTTTTTCTTTTTTGCTATGATAATCTATGAAATCTTTCATTTCATATCTCTTCTCTTCAGTTCTCGATACATCATTAAATTCAATAGTATATACCAGTTCTAGTAACTTTAGTATGTTGTAGCTTGATTGCTTCATCAAGTAACTTACTTAGCTTAATCATCTATTTCTCATATATTATATAATAACAGAGCACTTCTGGTTTTAATCTCATCAGTTCTTGGAGCTTTTATCACTTCTTTTTTAATCTTCTTGATGGAGGTAGAAAGGTTAATTGTAACTGAGGCTACCAACAAAACTTGATTACTAAGTATGTTCCTAGTTCTCTCAGATACAGTACTTTTTATACATAAAAGTACCACAATGAGCCTCATATTTGAAGTTACTGATCAATGGCATTGACCATTGTATTCCAATATTAGTATTAGTATTCTCATTCAATCTTATTATAACCCCCTCTCTTCAAAAACTCATAAAATGAACCACAAAGCAGTGTCACGAGCGGTGAAAATGACGATCTGAATAAGCAATTGGTCTCAAATTATCCCGAGAATCCTACAAGATATGAAATCAGTTCATATATTCTGGGGCTCGAATTGGCTTTCCAATGTCCCCGTGAGAATCCTTCAAACAGAAATTACATCCGAGAGAAACTGGCCCCCAGCAGAGGCGACCGCCATGCCTGAGCCTTAAGCGCCATGGCGAGGGCCACCCAGGAGCGGCAGCAAGGTTGCCGCCGGACTATTAATACCTCTCTTATCATCGAACAGGGTCAGTGTGATGTTGTGCAGTTGGCCAAGGCGGCGGCGGCGGCTCGGATTTTCTTCTTCATCAGGTACCTGCAGGGTTAAAATTGTCTTGGGCGTTTGAGAGAGCAGGTGAGAAGCACAGCCAAGTGGCCTGCAAGGGTTTCACGCCATCTGCAGCACACAAAAGTAAACATGGATAAGGGCCAAACAGAGGGACGATACACTGACGATGTGCTGGTGCTAGTCGGCAGCTAGTCATCTTGGCGATCGCAGTAGGCTCAATGTTCCACCGGGCTGAAGCTCTGGGCGCATCGTTGCCGAAAGACGTTGTTTCAACTTCGGGCAGCTTCCACCATCCAGTCGAACAACGGCGTTTCGACCTTGAACTCTCTCATCCTGCTCTCCACTCTGAGAAAAAGAGATCATTCTGCAACACCGGCTGGGTTTGACCGCCATTTTCTGGCTAACAAGATGCTTTTATTGGCAGTTAGGCTTTCTGGCTTTGTTTCATCTCTCTTTCTCTGGCTTCTGAAGAATGGAAGTTTCGCGCCCGAGAAAAACGGGGTGCCAGCGAGATGCGTTCTAGTCACTGCCAAACTGGAAAATGAGAATGCGAATCAAAATAATGAAACGCCATGAAGATGTCTTCATGCTAAGCGCTTGGTCAAGGGAAGCTTTCAGTTTCTAAATTGGGTTGTTTCGACAAAGACGCCGCTGGGCCATCGTAGCTAAAGGCTCGGAACAGGGTCCCTCTTTGCAGAGCACTTAGCTTTCAAAGGGAGTGTATTAATACTCGCAATGCCCATTCAATTGTGGCCGTTTCTATCTTTCTTTTACCACGTTCATTTTCTCCTTTGACATTTCTTCCCGTTTCTTCGTAGTTTTCTTTGGAGCATTGGCACCACTCGTTTGGGCTTCCGCATCTTTTTTTGATACTGTAATATTTTTGATATACTTGACCTGTCACTCGCTGGCGTTGAGTCTTCCATTCACCGAATCGCTTCTGGTATGCGATATATCCTCATTTATTTACGTTTCTCTCTCTTAATATCATATCATACTCTATTTTTCAGCTCCTGCAACGTTTGCCTGAATTGCCATGAAAACTACACTCAGTATAGTGGCGATTCTTGCCACGGCAGTTCAGCAAACAAGTGCCACGGTAGGTATTCCCTTCTTAGCTGCGCGATTCCTCCGGATATCAGAAACTGACGACTGTGGGTAGTTTTCTTGGGATACAAATAAATACTTCCCGAATCCCTCCAACTGTGATAACAAATGTACGGACAACCAAAAGTCTGGTTTCGACTGGAAGGGTCTTGGACTTGGGTCTTTCTCTTCATTCGGTGACTTTGACTTCTCAGGATTCACATGTGGCAATCGAAAGCCACCTAAGAGCAACTTCCAGGTACCATACGCCTTAAACATGCTAACGTTGCCATGCTAAGCTTGATTTTCTAACCTCAATTATAGAGCAAATGCGTTGAAGGCAAACTATTGAAAGGCATCACAAATGGCAGCCCAGAAATCTCATACCGAAAATCCGACGGCTTCTCAATCACTTCGTTCCAGATCACCGTCGATAAGGACACAGATATCGCCTTTGTGTATTCCATGCCGGATGGCTCGAGCTGCAAACACACCACTCCCTGCTCGCAGGGCGGCTCAGAGGTGCAGAATACACAATGCGGAGGGGCAGTGTCCGTAAGATTCGGCCTCCCTAAGTACAGCGAGCTGGATGATTGTGGTTTCGCAATTCACAAAATTAACTTCGACTGCGGGCCCCCCGACATCCCCAGCAAGCCTGTAGTGGTACCCACGGATGAAAATTTGTCGTACCCCATTAGCTCCCCCCCGGATCGTGAGTCGGAAGGTCAATCATATCCTGTATCTTTGACCCCAACTGCCCAGTTACCAGAATCTTCAATTGCACCAAAATCTACCGAATCATACCCTGTGGAAATTCCTCCGGGAACTCCGTCTGAAACAAGTCCTGGAGCTACACCGGGACTTCCCTCGGGATCTTATCCTGCGGGAACTCCTCCGGGAACTCTCTCTCAAACGTATCCTCCAGGAGCCACACCGTCAGAAAACACACCTCCGGGGAGCACACCCCCAGAAACAACTCCCGCTGGGACTGCTCCTCCGGTGGTCACTCCTCCAGACGTAACTCCGGGAGGAACTCCATATCCAACAGAGGCTATCCATTACTCCACCTCCACAGTCTTTACCACATCCATCATCACTATTACCCACTGTGGCCCAGAGGTTCCTTCATGTCCTGCCGACTCTACTGAGGTTGTCACTTCTACGATCGCTATTTCAACCACAATATGTCCAGTAACTATCACACCAACATCGCCCGATTCAATCGTTACTGGCCCAATCCCTACCAGCCCAACCCCAGTGTATCCTACCCCTACAAGCCCTGCAGGATCTACCACTCCACCGATACCGACTGTTCCAAACCCTGACACATTAACCTATCCAGTTGGCGAATCTACAGCGACACTGCCCGGCTCAAGTGCATTGCCAGTCACACAACCCCATCCGTCAGATTTGACTGTCACCGAAATGTGAGTATCCCCTTTTCCTTCATTGTATTCATGCTTCGGAAAATTGGGACTAAGGGCGCAAATAAAAACCATATAGTACATATACTACTGTTACTACTTGCCCAGTGACAGGAACGATCACCTCTGGCACTACAGAAATAACATATACTACTAATACGGTTTCTACTATTACGGTGACCACTACTGGTACTGTGTGTCCAGGATGCT